CAGCAAGGGGGAAATAGCTGTTGGCGTTGGAACCTCGGTCTGGGAATAAAGCCACTAACGCGTGGTGTCAATATGAGCAAATCCTTAATCATAGGGACCTCAGTTGATTCAACTGTGAAATAAAGGGGTTGAGTTAAGTGGTGACTAGGATACATTTCACCTCTGAGATTCTGGGTTTTAATGAGCCAGAACCAACAGGAAGGCTTAGTATATTTCTAGCATCAAGCCTGAACCCAAATGGTATTTTACTGTCAGTCCTTTGGATCAATTCTAGTTACATTTTCTAGCAAGGACCCATATTCAGTCACGGCGTGGTGCTGGTTCATGCACGGACAGCTGGGACGTTTCGAGAGCGCTGTGTGCTGGTCCCACGGGGGCCGAACCCTGCCGTTCTGTGTGGCTGGAAGCTGAGGCTGCCTTGGACCCAGCGCAGTCATACGGCTCCAAGGCAGAGCGCTACTGAAGCCGCAAATAATACCCGGCCCTTCTGCAGTCAAGTGTTTTAGAAAGAAGATTGGAAATACTGCTTTTGTTCCTCCTCCTTTCTATGTCAAAGGTTTATCAAGGCGAGTACGCGTGGACTTCCAGCTGCCTTCTGGTTGGACCTGTCGTGGGAGAGATGACATCACCAAAGAGCATCTAATCTGAATGGGGTTAACGTGTCTGGGGAATATCAGAGGCAGGGGAAGTGGCGTCTCAGACCCGCACACTGGGATCAGGAAATTTGGGTTCAGGTCTTCATAGGTCAAACACTTGGCGACATGACAGGCATCTTGCAAGGACCTGGCGGTTGCCGCTGTCATTATTTAAGATGACAGGGATGTACCGGCATAGTGGTCGGTTTACCATAACACAGACCAGTGGACTCTTCTGTAAGACATCTTTCAAGAAAAGAGAATGACCTCATCCCCTTTCATTTCTTTTCACCATAGTATTTATTCATTCTGCTGAATCAAATGTTGCAGGTTTGGGTTGAGTACCAAGCACCATTTCCAGAAACCCTCCTTATTTCCTGTTATCTGCCAAGTGTTTCCGGCAGGAGCGGCCCGGTCATCTCCACCTGTGGCCCCTGGTAGCAGAGCGTGAAGGACATGGGGAGGTATTTCTCTGTGTGGCTGAGGCCCATGGGCACTGACATCCAGGTTGTTGTGTCTCTGAACAGGGGTGCCAGACGTGTGTCTGTGTTCGCAGACCTGAGTCGGCACCTGCCTCCCCAACACGCCTACGCGTGGAGTTTTGTTTTTTGTCATTGGATTGTCTAGTTTGAGTGTTTCTTCTGTTATAAATGCGTAGGTGCCGTGAAGAAACTTTCTACCCTGTGAAAAATAAGCTTTGAGTAGATCTGGTCTCTTGATTCTTAATGTGGGTTAAGATGAGTTCCTCTGGCCTAGAGCGAATGTAATGTGAGACATGATGCTAGGGAGGGTAGGGAGCCAGAAGGTTTGGGAAGAGACCTGAGTGGCAGAGACACATGCATCCATGCAGGGGTTCTAGAATTGGGGAATCAGCATCATATTTAAGGATGACACGCACTTGGCAATATAGAACCAGGTAAGTTAAATTTTAGCTTCCAAAGTCAGATGGTCAAACAATAGGTCCACATTTCGAAGTAAATAGTTGGCTGTTTCCTCCTCTTCTAGCTTAAAAAGAATATCCTTTTGAATTATTTCTGGGATTTCAAAGAGAACCCTAGTTTTGCAGCTTACAGAAAAGAAGACTTTCGAACAGGCTGGTGTAGGCAGGGTCAACACTGGACGCCTCTGGAAGACATAGCACAATAACGATGCGTCTGTATGGATGGTCTCCAGTTTTCGTCTTTCTGAACAAATGTAGAACAGTTGTGGTTGGTGATTTTCTTTTCCCTGAGGGTTAAATTGTGTTTGTTTATGAACTGGCCGCAGAGGCTTTGAAATCAGAGTTGAGAACTCAGATACCAACCTGACCCTTCTCCAACTGTGGGGACCTGGGTGAATTACCTGATCTTTGAGCGTTTCTCACTTTAAAGTGTGAGCATTTCTCATTTTAGAATGTTTCTCATTTTAAAATTTCAAAAGTTGTTGAAAATATTAAAGTGCTTCAGAGAAAACCTAGTCAGTGTTTGTTAAATTTTAAGTGTATTCCATGAAATCGGAAGTAACCAAAACGTCTCAGGGTTGAAGTACAGACACAGATACACAGGACAATTGTATGATCCTAGATGACTGGACCATTTTGAAAAGATGCTCTTGGGTTGCTTCCCTTTGGCCCATTTCTTGATGAATTTCCCCCCCAGACACTTTAGAATGACACCCTTTAGAATCCGAGGAATATTTAAAACCTCAACAAATCAGGGCCTTCTCAAAACGGTGCTGGAGTCGAGTAGTGACGGTCGGGGTCCATTTTTATTATTAGTTACTGGATGTGATTATATTACAAATACCAGTAACTACCATTTATTTCTGGTCACTGGATGCAAAGTACTGTACTACACACTTTATAAACATTATCTCACTTAATCCCCAAAATAATTTAAGATGTGGGTTTTGCGGCCCTCATTATAGAGGTGAGAATATGAGGTGCACAGTGTTGAAATGGGTCTAAGCTCCCGTAGATGGAGCTACTTAAAATCCAGCCAGTACTTTCTCATGGTGCAACTTGGCTTTGCTATCAAGTAATCTAGGTTAGTTCCCTGAAATGCTAACACAGTTTCTTGAGGGAGTGGTTGGTCTTTAGAATTTTTGAAACATTTTGTGCCTAATCAGGACTTGGGAAGGTCCGAGAAATTGATTGCATGTGTCCAGGGCCTATTTTTCTGAAATAGTTTTTCTGGTGTTTTGATTTGGAGTTTTATCCATACGAGACAAGCATAGAATTGGAATTGGAGGAGGAGGATTTGGAGGAGAAGAAATTGGAGGAGGAGGACTTGGAGGAAGAGAGGATTTGGAGGAGAAGGAATTGGAATCGGAGGAGGAGGAATTAGAGGAAGAGGACTTGGAGGAAGAGAAGGAGGATTTGGAGGAGAAGGAATTGGAATCGGAGGAGGAGGAATTGGAGGAAGAGGACTTGGAGGAAGAGGACTTGGAGGAGGAGGAGAACTTGGAGGAGGAGAAGGAGGATTTCGAGGAAGAGAAGGAGGATTTGGAGGAGAAGGAATTGGAATTGGAGGAGGAGGAATTGGAGGAAGAGGACTTGGAGGAGGAGGAGAACTTGGAAGAGGAGGAATTGGAATTGGAGGAGGAGGACTTGGAGAAGGAGGAGGATTTGGAGGAGGAGGAGAACTTGGAGGAGGAGGAGGACCTGTCAGCATATGCACCATTCCAGTCTGTGTGATCTTCCAGGAAGTTCTGCTTGGAAGGTTATCAGCTCTGCAGTGCCAGTTCTTGGGAAATCACTTTTCCATTGATTATTTGGGCTTTGGGTACCTGGGCTCTTTGTTTTATTTGGTTTCCTAGTCCAGTAACATCCAAGAGGCATTTGTTGTATTTGTAAAGATCAAACATAAGTATGTCAAGGAGCTATTCCAGATGTTGGTCACACACAGGTACTATTTTGTTTCAGTGGAATTAAGTTTTCCCATCTTTTGTTCTCGCCTTCAACCTACTCTTCTCAACCTAACTTGTCTCCTGTTCCCCCTACTCCACAAACTTTCTAAATGTGAACAGTGACAGACGGCAGTAAACCCAGCTGCGGCCAGTAGTGTGGAATGCAGAGGATTTTTAAGATGGATAAGTAGTGTGTGATTTGCCAGCGTTCCCTAGTGGAACACAGATTCTGTGGAAATATGGTGTTAGCAGGTTACCAGTTGGAACACTAAGTTTTCACTAGCAAATATTTGTCCACAGTAGTTTAAATAATTTTTTATTCTGTTTACACATGAGGGGGCAGTATGGTACTGTAAAGCGAATGTTCTGGTGAAATGCTTGCTTGTTTATTTGGTATATAATAGTTTTTAGGCGAGGACTTTGAGATTCTGTGATTATAACTTTGGTATGGTTGTCTCTTATTGAATGTGAGACACCTGTGCAATCCCCTCACTCATACCCACAGGTCACATGGCTGTTTTTATTCCGATGCATAAATATAATCATTTCCCTGCGATAGTGGGGCTCTCATGCCTTTCCTTGTTCTAGATTTATGTTTTGTTTAACACTAGCTGGCTTTATCCCTGTTTCTTGCTTCCACCCGAGGGACATCAGCCCTCTGGAGATGCCGGGTCTGCTAGGTTGCTGTCTTTAAATATTTTATTTTATGACTTCATTGAAGGCTGAAGGGTCTCCAGTGTTGGTGGGGACAGGAAACCTCTGAACCCAGGTCTTGCAGCCAGGGAAGCTCTGCTACAAATCACCTGCGTGATTCCTCCCCTTGTGACCCAGGTTGCTTCGTCTCGCTGATACGTGGATGACACTGGATCATCAGGGAGCTAATATTCTAGGTTTCCTAAGTGGAGGGGAAATTACTAAGAAAAGTTGGAGGGTATCCAAGTGAATTGATAAAATCTACAAAACAGTTTATGAAAAATGTATGTGGGAATCTGAAAGGTAATTTCATAAGCACCAGCTATTTTTAAACGTGTAAAGGATATTTGCGGTCGTAGGTTTTTGTTTGTGTAGTTTGAAAAAACCGAGACACGCATTTTGGCATAAATATAACCCTGTGTGACATTTAATGGGATATTCATTTTTAATAATTTATCCGGGCTACTTCTTTTATGGGTGAAGGGCTGTGGTATTGTCTATACCTGGTAAAGATAATTATAGTTGTTTAGTTTGGGAATGAATTTATTGTGAAATGTAATGATTTGATGTTGCTTTGACTTAATGTTAATGAGAAGTTTTACCTAGAAATCGGTTAAAAAATAAATAAAAGAACTTAGGACTTATACCCAAAATTTCAAGGAATGTGTTTTTGGCTCTAGCCGGTTTTGGATGAACTCCAAATCAAATGTTTGATGCTGGTTTACTGTCGGAATACACAGGTTTCTGCAGGGGAAACAATTAATGTCCTTTATGCTTTGATGGCAGATTTTTAGGACCGTGCCTGATGCCACATTGCCTGAGCCAGTCTCCCTGTCAGCATCGCCCCCAAATGCTCCACCAAGACAGTCGAAGAGACCAGGCCAGAGGACCAAGAGACCCATGGCTGTGTATAATCTTTGTCTTGAGCTGGACGATGGTAGGATGCTCATTGTATTTTTCTGCTTGACAGCATGTTGCGAATATGGCATGTCTATGTCCCCTGGGCAGGCCCTGGTTTTCCATTCTCATTCTCTCTCTCTCCCTCTCCCTCCCCCCCCCCCCCCAACCTGTGTGTGTGTGTTGATTTTTGAGAGAGAGAGACAGACATGTGTGTTATTATTTCACATATTTATGCATTCATTGGTTGGTTCTTGTATGTGCCCTGCCCAGGAATCGAACCCACAACCTTGGCATATGGAGACAGTGCTCTAATCAACTGAACTACCCTGCCAGGGCCAGCCTTTGTTTTAATTTCTGTTTCCCTTAAGATTATACTTTTTGAGATTAACAGGGAGGGTAACACTTTCTTTTCAGGGAGAGAATGTAAGTTTCAGTTTTGTGTTTGTCTCTGTTCTGCGTGGTTCTTTTGATATTTTTAAAAGACAGCTTAGATTTCTTTTTTGGGAGACTTGTGCGACCTCCTGTGAGGTTACATAACCCTGAGACAAATGGAAGGGGAACTAAAATTAAAGCAAGTCTTTTATGAGAGGAGCAGATCAGGTCTGATGCTCAGTGCATTCAGAGTTAAGGCGCAGGCCGTTGCACTGGGTTATGGTTTATGCACCTTACTTGCCTTGTTTTCCCAGCTCCCTCATGAGGCAGGTGTCTGATCTATCTGCTCGCGTGGCTGGGGTGGCACATCGACTGGTCTTTTGGGGCCAGGCTAAGTGAGCTCAGCTGCAAGGGGCTCTGGCAAATGGAAGTTCTCATGTCGCGTTCAGGCTGCCCTGTTCCAGCTCATTCTTGTCACGTGGTCATGCTGTCTCAGCACTGCCAGACTGCCTCGTTCTTAAAGGGAGCCGGAAATCCGAATTCCAAACACAAATTCCTACAAAACAAGATGGTGAGCAAGGTGAGGAACACCAGTTGCTGATTGGTAACCGTGTGACTATTGGTGTGGAGAAGGAGGTGGTCATGGTCTCAGAAACCCGCATTTTCTGTGTGCCTGTCTGCAACGGTGACTCTCCTCTTGTGGAACTTCACTCCTGCAAGGTCATTTCCTGGTTTTGAATTTAGTCTTTTTTTTTTTTCCTCCTTTCATCCTCTTTTTTTTTGGTTTCTTTCATTTATTATTCTTTAAAGCTACAGAGCTTATATTGGTTTGGAAGTGTGAGGTGACAGTCAGAGGGAAGGATGGAATGAAGATAGAAACAAATCCAGTACCTTCATCATAAGCAGCTATATAGTCAGATGTCCAGGTTGTTAGTATCCAAAGGTCCGTGCAAGCAGGTGACACTGTCTTCAACTCCGCTGACTTGAGGGTATCTCTGGGGTCCTCAGAATGCTTCCTGTAACAACACTGGGAGCTATGATGTTTTAATTGTTTAAAGATTTTTAATTACTTTAAAATTTTTAAAGATTTTTAATTGATTGCAGGTGATTGTTTTCTTCTTTAAACATTTTTAAAAAGTTTATTGACATTGGTTAATAAAGTTATAGGCTTCAAGTGTACATTTCTAGGATACATCATCTGCATACTGCATTGTGTGCCCACCACCCCGAGTCAGACCTCCTTCAGTCACCGTATGTTTGACCCCTTTACCCCTCCCCATCCCTTCCCTTCTGGTAACCATCATCCTGTTGTCTCTCTTTGTTTGTCTTATTTGTTCATTTGTTGTTTTTAGTTTTATATCTTACACATGAATGAAATCATATGGTTGTTGACTTTTGTTGTCTTACTTATTTCACTTAGCATGATGTTCTCCAGATCCATCCATGTTGTCACAAATTGCAGTATTTCATCTTTTCTTATGACTGCCTAGTATTCTTTGTATATGTGTACCACATCTCTATCCAGTTCTGTATCAAAGGACCCTTTAGTTGTTTCTATGTCTGGCCACTGTGAGTAATGCTGCAGTGAACCAAAGGGAGCATATATCTTTGCAAATAATTGTTTTCACATTTTTCAGGTAGATACCCAGAGGAGGGATTGCTGGGTCATATGATAACTCTATTCTTGCTTTTTTTGAGAAACCTCCATATTGTTTTCCATGGTGGCTGCACCACTTACATTTCCACCAACAATAAATGGGAGTCCTTTTCTCCACAGCCTCCCCAATACTTGTTATTACTTATCTTAGTAATAATAGCCATTCTAACAGATGCAAAGTGGTATCACATTGTAGTTTTGATTTGCATTTCCCTAATAGCTAGTGAGGTTGAGCATTTTTTCATATACCTGTGGCCATTTGTATGTCTTCTTGGCAGAAGTATCTGTTCAGGTCCTCCACCCATTTTTTGATTTGGATTTTTTATTTTGCTGTTGTTGGGTTCTTTATATACTTTGGATATTAACCCCTTATCGCAGGTGTTGTTTAAAAATATCTTCTCCCATTCAGCTGGTTGCCTTTTTGTTTTGTTGAAGGTTTCTTTTTCTGTGCAGAAGCGCTTTAGTTTGATGTAATTCCACTCATTAACATTTGTTTTACTTCCCTTTGAGGTCAATTTCATAAAATCCTCTCTATAAAACCAAAGTCCTTAAATTTAGTACCTGTGTTTCAAGTCCTATATTTAGGTCTTTGGTCCATTTCGAGTTAATTTTTGTGTATGGTGACAAAGGGTTTCCTCCTTTTGCATGGGCTTTTCAGTTTTCCCAGCGCTACTTACTCAAGAGGCTTGTCTTCTCTCCATTGCGTGTTTTTGGCTCCTTTGTAGAAAAGTATTTGTTCATAAATGTTTAATCTTTCCTGGGGGCTGTATATATTTCATCATATACAAATGTTAGTTTTACAGTCAGATCCTTGTTTTCCAGAGGAGGGACATAAATATCATTAATATCAACCTGTAATCTCAGAGGTATTTTTTAGACATTAGTTTTAACTTCTCATCCCAGCTAACCGTTTTATTCTCTCTTTTTTCTCAAGTTCGCTCTCAGTAGAGCTGCCGATAAGGAGTGAAACTGACTGGTTGGAATTGCATCTTTTCTTTTGTCTCACGTGTCCTCAGGTGGAAGTGTCAATAAAGACAGAGAGGCAAATGTTGAAAAGTAAAAGGCGGGAAATCAAGACATGATAATATGCACATTAGCTCAAAACTGAATTGACCGCAGTCCATTAAGGAAATGACCAGAGAGGGGCCTTGTGTCTTAGAATTATGTCTACTTTTTGGCCATGCTTAGGAATTTAATCATAATATCCAATCACATGTACATAGCATAATAATCTTTTGATCTTTGGCTTGCTGAGTGATTACTAATGGGTAAGAAATTGTTGAAGTGGTGTTCAGCACATCTTTTTTTTTTTTTAATTTTAATTTTTTCCACATAGAGTGGGAGGGAGAGCGAGAGAGAGAAACATCTATGTGAAAAGGACACATCGAGTGGCTGCCACCTGCCCAACCCTACCGGGGCCGGGGACAAACCGTAACCGAGGCACGTGCCCCTAGCGGGACCCAAACTCGGGTTTCTCTGGACCGCAGGCCGACGCTCTAACCGCTGAGCCAAACCGGCCAGGGCTATGCAGCGTATCTTTTATGAGAATATTCAAGATGGCTTGTTACAATTTTTAGGTCATGTAATAATTCTTAAAAATTATTTGACTGTAAGAAGAGAGAAGAATGTCAGATAATCAGTTCTTCAGTCTGTTTTTTTTTTAATCCTCACCCGAGGACATTTTTGCATTTATCTTCAGATAGAGCGGGAGGGAGAGAGGGAGGAAGAGAGAGAGAAACATCAATGTGAGAGACACATCGACTGGTTGCCACCTGCACAACCCCATGAGGGCCGGGGACAAACTGCAACTGAGGTACGTGCCCCTAGCAGGAACCAACCTTGGGACTCTTTGGTCCATAGGCCAACACTAACCGCTTAGCCAAACTGGCCAGGACTTCAGTCTGTTTTTATGTTCATCATTTATATGATTTTTCATGCTACATTCTATATTTTATAAATTTACATTAATTCTTTTTGATTGTACCCTTAGATTTTTTTTTTGGAAGTTGTCAGAATCAGGAAATCCCGTGATTTTAGAGGTCATAAGATCAAGCAATTAAAAACTACTATTTATCCCACCCCTCTCTCCCATTATTTGTAGCTAAGCTTTATTTAAACTTAAGTTGAGCAAAGAAGAATTAATTCAGAGAGAACAAAGTATAGGTATAAAGTTTGGCATGTTCTTAAAAAAAAAGAGAAATAAAGAAGTGGTATATATACTTTTGAAAGGAAGCATATGGAGAAAGGATACTTAAAAATTATGTTATTTGAATATGACTCAGCATTTGGAAAACTCTACCCCTTAAAAAAAAAATTATTCTTATCACTAGGTCTTAAATGTTTTTTCTGTCACCTGAGCCATCTCTACTTGAAGGTTTCAAAACATTTAACCTTTTACAGTATTTTTTTCTTATTGGTAGTAGTAGAGTCACTTCCCATGTTTAGTTTGGTTAAGATACAAATTTTAGCCAACTTTTGTTGATTATTTTTCCAAATGTTTTTGTTTATATCAGTCTGAAATTCACCCCCCACCCCCCCCATTGACTCATTGTAGTATAAGTTAAATTTGATTTAATAAAGTCCAGGACAAATACTTTTTGTTGAAAATTTAGGTAGATTAACTGGCAAGATTTAGGGAACTAGAAGGGATAACTGGGGAGTTTCTCCAGCACTGTGTATGATTTGGTCGTAGATTTGGTATTGGAGTGAAGTGGTTATTTCATCTTCTACCTTGGTAGGGTATGAAACTGTGATGTACCCAACAGCCAACCCTGGAAAACACTCAGTTGGTTTCATTTTAACATCAGACAGATAAAAAAGTCATTATTAGCAAAGACTCAGCAAGCCTGTCAGCACGAGCCTGGAAGCAGAGAATCCAAACTGATGTGAAAAAGGAGAGGAATTCTCCTGTGAGACATGATTTTTATTATGTTATATTTAACCTCTCTGCACTCTCAACTGAGAGGTGACCAGTTTAATTAAAGCCACTTAGTATCTTCACTTTGATA